TTTTTATCCAAATCGACTTTCAAGCAGATTACTATAAGAATCTGAAGGATCGAAGAGGAATTTTCCAAATCGATATCCACGAAGCTTTACCTCGGGTAGGGTCCAAACAAGGATCGAAGAGGAATAAGAGTCAAACAAGGTAGACAATTTACAGATATATTGAGCACTGAAAAGTGCTGTTTAAATTTGTTGTACACACTAATCGAGTCAGTACGGTTTTACTGAGTTTTTGAATTGCGGAACTGTTCGGTAAAAGTTTAAAAATCTATGGAAAATTTATTAATGAGAAAATTTGCTCTGAACTTGTACATACTTAGTTCTGTTAACCCCATTTAATGATAAAAAATATAATTGGTCGATTTCATTGCCAGTAAAAAAATCTTAGTGTGTAGCTTTAGGTAGTAGTAACACTTCTTTCAGCAAAAAGTTAATAGATCCGCACGGCAAGAGAGCACGATGCGGACTGATTTTGGCGGGGAAGACAGTGAAATTTTGCTTAATTAAGATACTGGTTGGAAATATCGTGCAATTACTAGAACAAAATTTAAAAACTTCATAAAAACCATAAGATTAAATCAAATTTGGGAGTTGTAGGCAACAGCTAAACACAAAAAAAATAATAATAGGTTTGGTTGTTGTAGGTTGGGCATTGTAGGGCATATTATTCATTTGCCATTATTGGACTTTTGTGCATACTAGTTAAAATGTTGTAAACATTAATTTCTTTCAATATTTTTTCTTTATGTAGGAGATTTTTAGCCGTAGGCTAGTTCATCTCCATTTTCTTTTAATAGAATCAAGAATCTTATTATTCCCTTCAGCAATCGTGGGAATGGGAGTGATGGGACTGTAACTGTAGATAGCAGTGGTGGGGAGACTTGGTGACTAAATCTGGATTCTGTAGGTCATGGAACGGTGTGATAGGTGTGGCAAATCATCCATTTCTACCTTTTTATTTTCCAACCTTTTAGCTGTTATCACTGTTGCTTTGACAGTCATAGGGGACATAGGGGTTCAACAACTTTCCTTGCTGTCGGCACTTTGGAGCGGAATTCATTTGACCGCTTTGGTTGTTGTTCTGTGATGTCAGATCAATGTATCTTCATTGATGCGGTGTGAACAGTGATTTTTCGCATGATTATGGTCTCAGTGCGGATTTACGTAGCTCTAAGAGACAAATCTGCTTCCGGCTGAAAATTTTCTCAACGAAGTAATAATCCCAATTCCATAAAATTTGTTTTTTTTTTATGCCTGAGATTACGAAAATCTTTATCTGGCCTTTCTTTTCAACTCCATAATTCTTCATTAAGTTTTAATACATAACTTTCACTGGAAGTTTAGTCGAATTGCAGACATTTTTTTCTAATATGACGCTATTCAAATATCGAAATATCCAGTCTTCAAATCATAAGCTGTAATCAATCAGTGTGTGGCTTGTTTACCGATTTGACAAAACAAAAAAGTGAATTAACCATCGTGACATGATTATTTAAAGAAAAAGAAAGGGAAACTAATATCCCTTCGAACGAGAAATCAGAACATCTGAAGATAAGAGGTTGATTCAAAAGATTTCAAGTTCATTCGAAGATAATATAATATTATTTTATTCAGTTTAAAATACGATTTAGGTTTGATGCTCAAAGATTGAATTCAAGCTGCTCAAAAGGAAGAAATGGTTATTTATCGGAATTAATAAATATAAAAAAAAAAAAAAATGTAGAGTAAGTGATCCAGTTTTCAACCCTACACTACAACAAAGTCTATAGTTACGAATACTTTTTTGCAGAAAACATTTATTTTCAGTATAACTACGCTTAATACCATGTCTCCCTCCCCTTGGCTAGTTTTTGCACCTTGCTGTTGGTGGGCGGGCTTAATTTCATGCTAGTGGAATGTTGGAGACGGTGGGTTTGTGGCCGACGTTGCTGGCTCATGCCGCGATAGAATGGCGCCATGGGCGGGCAATGAGGATTACTGAGCTTCCCCTCTCTGATAAACCACTGCATGAGAGAACAAAAGATCTAGTCCAGCAGTGATAGTATCACACTTGTTACTCCTTTTATTGAGAGCCGCGTCGTGGTACGCTTACGTATAGGCACTGACGTTGGGTGTGATACTGGCGGGTTTTGCCGCAAATCACTCTTATTTTATTTATTTTTATGCAGATAGATTTATTTGGGTGTGCAAGGGAATTATACTATTGAAATATTTCAGAAAGTGCCCAACGGTGCTCCTTCTATTTGCGTGACAAGCTTTCATTGTTGTTTTCATTGAAGTATTACTCAGGGAACAATGTTATACATCATTTTTGTACTTGGTATTGTAACTAATCTTATATGTGCTTCATTTTGATTTGGGATAAATGTTTGAACTATGGCTCGGGATTTCCACTGTTGCGTGCTTCTATTGTGATATATCCATACGTAATTTTGTGGGACGACATAGTGGAAACGTGTGAGCGTAGTTGGAGCATATACCCCATATAATTTAAAATCAGCTAGGAAACTAACTTCAAAATGAAGCATTTTAGTCACTTGAGGGTGTCACCTGGGTCGAACTAAGATATAATAAATAGGTATAGGTCAAAATCAAAAGTACTTGAAACACGTTTAATTTTAGATTACAAGCACAAGTGCAGGTACTTAATAAAGCATGGGTTATGATTGATTAGGTGACTTAGAGCTTTTAATAATTTATTAATTAGGCTAATGAGATATCATAACCATCAAATGAATTTAAATAATAAACTTCAGAAAGTTTAATGACATTAAGTAGATTAACAAAAGAATTAGGATGCGGGTGGTCCGCTTAGGGAGGCAACTAACCTTTATAGTTGTAGAATAAATCTTCTTATTTAGTATTGAATTAAAAAAAAAAAGAAAACGCAGGCAGACCAATAGCATTTAGCAGATTAACAAGGAAAGGAATAGTTTAGGAAAAAAGTAAAAGTAGAGTTATGTGACAGTTATTAGCTTTTAAACTTTTGGAGGTATTGTATTCCCCTGAGTTTGTTGTACTCGATTACTATATAATTCTCTCAATACGCGAAATCTCTTATATATGCGATTAAAGCATTTGAGTTAACTTATTTCTTAGTGTTCAAGTACTTACATTTGTAAACAGCAATCAATGTTAATCTATGAACTAAACCATACGTAAAATCGATCTTTCCTTATGTGGTATTGATGCATGTTTAACTTTTCGCGGCTTTCGGAATCAACGCGCCTACGTCTACGGAGCTTACGCAGAAGTGATTTGCAATGCGGTAGAGCTCACCAAAAGTTTTTTTTTTTTTTTTTTTGAGCTTCTGTAGTATAGAATTTGTTCGGTACGGTCGCGAAATCTTGAAATGATTGATACGTGCGGTAAAATAACTAAATTGAAACAAAGCTCAACAGTAAAATAAGTAGAATATTTAGGGAGGAAACCAAAATTAATCAACTTGCCAACATAGGCTATCACATTTATTTTGGTGGCACTCTTTAAGTGATAATAAGTTGTTTTTTTTTCTCTACGGTTGTTTCGCGTGGCGTTCACAATTTGCGCGATTTTCGTATCTTACGTAATTTAGATGTTTAACTATAAACGGTTTCACTGACTCGAGGTCGTTCCTTAAGCGGTGTTGGTACAGGTTAAACCTTTGCCGACTGTCGGATTCAACGCGCCTACGTCTACGGAGCTTACGCAGAAGTGATACGCAATTCGGTAGAGCTTGTCAAACGCTTTTGAGCTTATAGAATTTGTTCGGTGCGGTCGCGAAATCTTGAAATGATTGATACGTTCTTTAAATTAACTAATTTGATACAAAGCTCAGTAGTAAATAAGTAGAATATCTAAGGAGGAAACCAAAATTAATCAACTTGCCAACATAGGCTATCACATTTATTTTGGTGGCACTCTTTAAATGATAATAAGCCTTTTTTTTTTCTCGCTTCGGTTGTCTCGCACGGCTTTCGGAATTCGCGCGGTTTTCGTAACTTACATAATTTAGATATTTCGTTCGAAACGGATTTACTTATTCAATCGGTTTACTACGCGGATGTATCTACGCGCACACGTCACAGCATTTTTTCTATAACTATCTTGAAACAATACATACGGAATCCAGTGTTCAAGCGGCCAACATAGGCTAGTCCTTCTGCTGTATTGTCAAAGATAGAAGCAAAATTTATTCAAATGGGTCAAGTCTTGAAAATTAAGCTGTCACGCAGCTCCAGCTTGATACCAATAAAAAAAAAAAAAAAAAAAAAAAAAACTACGCTTAATGCCATGTCTATCAAATATACCAGGTGACTATAAATATAATCAAATTTACTACCATTCTTTCAAAACTACTATGCTTACTCAAACGGCATAGTAGTTTTGATAAAAAAAATAGTAAAATTAAATTAATTACGTTTCGTATTTAATTTAAACCACCAATATAGTATTTTTGATAATGGATTTTGTTTCTGTGTAGGGCTAACTCAAATTTGAAATAAATGTTCATGGCTTCAATCGCGTAGACATATTATGAAAAATGTGCATGGAAATAAATTTGGCCAAGAATGAAAATATTGAAAATTGAGTTAGGGCCAATTAGGGAATCTCTTGGACCAAAAACTGACTCACATAACCTATTCCCTTATTAGAAAAAGCGGTAAAATCCGCATATTTTTCAAAAATCTGTTATCTGTATATACAGATATATGTATCAAAATATTGATAAAAAAATCTGTATAATTACAGATAAATCTGTATATGTGGCATCACTAGCCGCGCATGGTCCTTGCTGATAGGTAGATTTCTTTGTGCTGGTTTTACTGCATGCTAGGAGCTGTTCGGTAAACTATCGGCAAAAACGGTTCAGATTCGATTACTTGTATGTTTGTGTCTCATGTGTTGGGTGAAAATTAAAATTGTTCACTTTTTCCTACCTTTTGAGACTCGATCTTTTAAACATCCTGCATTTCCTTCGTGGCCTATTTTTCCTAGACTTAACATTACTTTTCTACTTAAAGGTCTCACCGTACCTCCTTGGTCGTTGCTTGTGGATTATCAGCCGTTACTGCGATTGTAACATATACGACCAGCAAACCCTTCAGCAAGTGATAGACATTACGATCAACAGCATGTCACCGGAAAAGCCAATTGTGTTGAAAATCACAGCAGCCAGGTAAGATTACTTTTGCTATTACTCGGTGTGTCACTGACCGATTTGATCCGGATTTGATCCGGAAAGGTTGGAGGAACTAGAATAAGGTGTCATTTTCTTACCATAAGCGTACCAACATTTTCTTCATGCATGTTGTCGCCGCACGAGGGGCTCAACACTTCTCCTCAATTTCGCTCCGATAGTAATCCGAAGTTCCCGAAGGTTCACCACTGCCAGCGGCTTCGTCAGGGTGTCCGCTTCCATCCGTTCGTTCGGACAGTACTCGGTGAAAAAACACCGCTCGCCACAAGATGTTTTACAAAGCAGTATTTGGTGCCAAAATGTTTAGAACAGCGTGTACTCCAATCCGTAGAAGTTAGAACAATGGTTATTTCTTAATTTGTCGACATCAACAGACTCACTGTAGCCCTAATTATCGCGCAAAATACGACCGTATCCTTACCGTAAAGTCCTTGACGCCTGTCGACAACGTAGATCTTTTACATGGGGTACAAATTACAACAACTAGAAAAGGCTTCGCATATACGTTGAAGAAAGTGACAGTCAGCACTCGAGCAGATCTACAAGTAGATTTTGAGAGCATCTGCTTACGATAGTCGTGAATTATCCTCATAAACTGAAACAGGATACACCAAAGATACACCCAGATCTTACTTGCATATCCATTGACATTCCTGAAGACAATTTGCCAAGGTGATAAACTCGGCTTCGGTACTCGACAGCGCCAAGTTTGCTTGCTTCCTGCAGCTAAATTTGTTTTATTTCGTCAACCCAGTGAGCCCACCTTCAATGTTTGAACATGAATCCAGTAGTGGAATTCCGATCAGAAAACTTCACCAGTTGCCCCATTGATCCGCTCGCCATTGGAACTCGTGACGTTTTGGTCTTCTCCATCCCAAACCGTACAAGAATCTTTATGATGTACGACTGCTGCCGCCAATTGATGAATTCCAAGAAACGCGAGAGAACTTTACTCGGTGACTTTAAAATTCTGCTGCAAACTTTAACCAGCATGCAAGCAATGGTGAGATCGTCTACGTACAGCAGCACTACTGCAAATCTAATATAACTATCGAGGAATTACATCGTTAAGTGCCGTTTCAAAGCTATTCGAGCTAGTGATTATGGAACCGTTGCTGTCCCATTGCAAGCAGTATTTGAGTGCTGATCAACATGGGTTTACTGTCGGCCGCTCTACAACTACCAATCTGCTGTGTCTCACATCGTATATAACCGAAAGCATGTCGGATCGGGTTCAAACGGACGTTATTTATTCAGACCTATCCGCAGCATTCGACAAGTTGAACCATGCTATTGCGATTGCTAAACTCGGCAGGCTCGGTGTATGCGGTAATCTTCTGAGTTGGTTTCGATCATATCTTACCGGTCGGCAACTAAAAGTTGCCATAGGAGATTGCAGATCAGCTAGCTTCTTCGCCACATCAGGTATACCTCAGGGAAGCCACATGGGACCGTTAATTTTATACTGTACTTCAACGACGTGCATCTGGTCATCGAAGCTCCTCGGTTATCATATGCAGATGACCTCAAAATCTTCCTACGAATCTGCTCCATTGCTGACTGTCACTTTCTTCAACGTCAACTGAATGTATTCGCTAGTTGGTGCAGGTTAAACAGAATGGTAGTGAACCCAGTCAAATGCTCCGCTATTACGTTCTCACGAAAACAACAACCGATAATATTCAGTTATGATCTGCTTGGCTCGACAATCGAACGCGTAAATCAGGTGAAAGACTTGGGTGTGATCTTTTTTTTTTTTTTTTTCTTTGGTTTGTTTTTTTCCGTCGATCTAGTTTTCCGTGCTGAGCACCAATGCTACCGACGTGCCAGGAAGGCAGCTCCCACACCTGGACCCTACCTATCGACCCATCAACTCATGAACCGGGGACCAACGGCTTTACTTCCCATCCGAAGGAAGGCGTGATCAGAGATGTTATGCCTCAGAACATCCCGGCGGCGCCGACTGGGATTGAACCCAGGCCTGCTGGTGTGAGAGGTAATCACGCTTACCACTACACCACCGGCGCTGTTAGGTTGGGTGTGATCTTGGATTCGCAGCTTTCATTCAAGCAACACATTGCATATGTTGTTGATAAGGCGTCAAGAACTTTAGGGTTCATTTTTAGGATAGCTAAAAACTTTACTGATATCTACTGTCTAAAATCTCTCTATTGTTCGCTTGTTCGATCGACGCTTGAGTATTGTTCAGCGGTTTGGAACCCAAACTACAACAACGGTGCCGAGCGAATTGAATCTGTTCAACGTCGCTTTCTTCGTTTTGCGTTGCGTAGATTGCCTTGGAACGATCCGTTACGAAAGCCGTTGTCAACTTATCGACCTAGAACTTCTCCGGACTAGAAGAGACACAAACAGAGCCCTAACCGTGGCCGATATCCTACAAGGAAGGACAGATTGTGAGGCTATCCTGAGGCAAATTGACCTGAATGTTCAACCCTGACCGCTTCGTAATAACCTTATGCTAAGACTGCCTCTACGTCGCACAAATTATGGAGCGTACGGTGCGATTTGCGGACTGCAGAGAACATTCAACAGAGTTGCATCTGTTTTCGACTTTCATCTCTCCCGTGATGCGCTTCGTCGAAAGTTTTCTTCTGTTTTTCGCCGGCAGGAGTTAAGATATTGACTATAAGATATACGTTTTTTAATGTTTTTTTTTTTATGTTATGACCATGCTTGAATGTATTTTTTTTACCATAGTTGATAAGGTTTAAATCATTGGGGCTTCATCCAGCCTGTTGATGTTAAATAAATAACAATATATGAGCCTTAGAGCTGAAGAGAATGAAGCGTGTACGGTAACAGATATTGGAGCACGCGCAGAAGACGACCAAGGCCTCCCGGAAATCGAGAAGATCGGTCGGTTGAAAAACAGTAAGCCGCTGGTGTTGGTGGATAGTTACAAAGATTTGGGAAAAGGAGCTATTACCGGAGAAGTAGATGGACGGTATCGTGTGTCCAATCTACAAAAGTGTCCCCAAACTAGATCGCTGTAACTACTACGCGATCACACTGCTGGTACTCTCTCAAATACTATGCCGCCGTCTATCACCGATTTCAAAGGAGTGCATGGGGCAATACCAGTCAATATTCATGAGTGCTCGCGCTACCGGAGACCAGATTTTCGCGATTCGGCAAGCTTTCTTTAAATGCGCCACTATAACGTGCCCACACATAATTTGTGCATCGATTTTAAATCCGCATACGACACAATCAAACTGGACCAGATATGGCAGATTATGCACGAATGCAACTTTACAACGCCGTGGTTAAGGGATTGAACGCGTCCTGAAGACCGCGAAGAAACCAAACCCTATCCTGAACTTTCGAACCGTGCATACTGCTTCATGATACCGGTGAGATAAGCCGCCATGTTGTTATCACTTACACACCGTTGTTTACTGCGCCTCGGGAATTTTAGCACCGCCGAGCAGTTCGCAAATAAGTAACCGAATGCGCTCAAATGTTGGCACGATGAATCAAAATGTTACGTGGAATTAATTAAAATTGATCATTTGAACCAGGTGAACACTAAAATGGTCTATGTTTTTCCCATTTTCAGATCAATCTACGGGTTCTGTACAAACCTGCGTGAATGCAACGATGAGCGAAAGAGTTTCCTAGTCCCCAAATTGGAGCCATTCTTCGAATGTATCATGCCACTATTCAGTCAATCACAGAATACCGTTCAAGGTCTTCTACTGGAAACATTGACGGCCATAATCTCGGTAGGTTTAATCAAAGTTCAATCTTTTATCCATCTTTTATAAAATTAATCACCTTTTCTGGCTTGCAATAGTATGATGCTAACGTAACGGCTGCCATTTCGAGTAAGGTTGTATCTCTCACCATTGCTATGTTCCTCAAATACCACGACGATCGGTTCATATTAGAAATGGTGCAGGACATTCTTAAGATTCTGTCACAAAATCCCTACTGCTTGATGCCTCTGCAGGAAAAGATAATCCCGACGATCATCAGCATTCTCAATTCCGAAGGAGCCCAAACATCCACCATGCAAGATATTGCACTGGACATTTTGGGTACTGTAGTCAAGTATTCCAGAGGACCACTCAGTAACATCATGGTCGAAAGCGCTTTTCCCGCCGCCGTGCATTGTATTCTGCGAAGTGAAGATCACTCCGTCATGCAATCCGGAGGCGAGTGCCTGCGCGCGTTCCTCACCGTCGATCCCGAGCAGATTTGTGGCTACAAAAATGGTGAAGGTCTAAACTACATCATGCAAGTTACGACCATGCTATTGAACCCAATGAACACCGAATCGACTGCTGCATTCATCGGTCGGTTGGTAATTACCATAATCACCAAAGTGGGAAATCTGCTGGGAGAGAATGTCGATCTACTGTTGAAAGCAGTCATCAGTAAAATGCAGCTGGTCGAAGCATTGAACGTTATAATGAGCCTGGTGATGATCTTCGCACATTTGATTTTAGTGCAAATGGACCCTGTTCTCACCTTCCTGAGTACTGTTCCCGGACCGACGGGTGAACCAGCAATGACCTTCGTTTTTGCAAACTGGCTCAGCCGGCAGCACATGTTCTACGGGTCGTATGAAAGAAAGGTCAGCACAATGGCTCTCTGTAAGTTGTTTGAATATGGCGTAACGACCAAGGACGAGAGATTGAACTCTGTAATGATCAAAGAACCGGTGGTCAATCCTAATCAGGGTAGGAGAACCCGATTGGCTGCTGCTAAGTCGCAACAGGAATGGGTCGATGTTCCGATTCTGTTGAAAATTTTCAAGCTTCTTGTGAACGAACTTTCCAATCTGAAGGAGGCTAAAGAAGCACTAGTGCAGGGCGATTCAGCAGATTCTGACAGCGAAACAGAAGATGGAAAGGCTATCAATTTCACAGCAGCGATGCTCCTTGAGGATGGTTAGTTCATAAGCTTGATTTGTTACGTGGAATAGTGTTTTTTTTTAATATATTTCTCTTTCAGATGAAGATGATGACGACGATCAGCAGATGATGCAAGAGCTTATGCAAAATCCAATCTTCCAGTGTGACATGGAGGAGTATTTGGTCGAATTTGTGAAGAGTTTCAGTCGAGATGAACATTTCCGTGTGTTTCTGGAGCAGCTGGAAGATTCGGAAAAACTTATCCTCAATGGTTTCGGAATCAACGTAGCTTGAATGCATGTTTTGAATGCAATGAGAAATTATCAAAATGGATTAATATTGCCCGACACATAGTGTGGGCTCATGTTATTATTATCCTGTATACTCCCTTACGTTATGTTTTTAAATCCAAATAAAATGAATCATCTTTAAACTAAAAAAATCAACATTTGGTATGACATTCCCTAACTTATAGTACGTTCAGACTACAGAGTTATAACATGTTATAGTGCTATCTTAATGGTGGTTTCTGTGTTGCAATTAGTTGACAACCGTTATAACCTGTTATAACTCTCCAGTCTGTACAGCGTTTAAAGCCCCTGCACCCAGAGACGATGTTATAACTGGGGGGACGTGCTGTCAAATTAGCCTACTGATCATTCGTGTATGAAACTGGTTCCAAACGTAAATAAACTTTTTTACTTCTAGTTTGACAGATAACATCAGGGGTGTGTGGATTCATGCAGAACATGCAGGGGTGAGTGAAATAACTTGGGACTGCTTGGGACCGTTGTTCTGGTACTGAGTGAGCCAAAAATAATAATGATTTTCTTCGGGACCCAGTGGTCTTAGAGTTACCTCATAGATATTACACTGAAGTCTTTTTTTACACGGTTTTTTTTCACGGTTTTTTGCGATTTACACGGTACGTTTTTAACGATTTCTCGATAACGATACGTCCTATCGACTTGATTCCAATCACATTTTCCGTTTCAAGCTATAGGTTATCGAATGGCATACTTTAAAAAAAAATCACAATTTGGTATAAATACAGAATTTTTTTAAATATGTCTATATGGACCATAGCATGCTATAATTACAAATGACATCAAAATCCGATTTTTTAAACATGTGACAAATCAAAATCTTGTAGGTTTTTTTTTTACACGGTACCTACGTATCCCCCGTGTAAAAAACGACCTGAGTGTATTTAAACTTATGGCAGCAAATTTTCTGTCCTCTTGTCGGAAATAATCTTTGTTACTGGAAGTAATTATTATTATGTCGTTTTCGTTTTTGCGGTGTAGCTACACCGGTGCTACACTGCCGTACACCGAAATATTTTAGGGTGTAGATATAGGATGCACCTTTGTTTACAAACAAATGATGTTGAGCTGTTAAAGACTCGCGCTTATTCGTGCTTACACTACACCAGTGCTACACCGCAAAAACAAAAACGACATTAGTTTGATCAAAAAACTTCTATTTGAAATGATGGTCTTGATCGTAACGAAAAAAATGATAGTCAAAAAAAATCAAAGTTTATTTTCATGAGCAGCTAAATATCGCAGTGGTACATGCTTGCTTGGATCAGATGTAATTATCTGATTTCTAATTTCAATTAATCACTTTTTAAAAGCATTACAGATTTTGAAATGTTTTTGATTTCCCAAGGAATTCCCCTTCTTGCGTAATTTTGAAAATGTTTACCAATCGAATCGCTTATACACTCCCGATCATAAATTTGGGGACACCCTTGAACAAACTTGTAAATGTTTTTTGCTCATATCTCTATCATTTTACAACTGATTTTCGATCTTTTTAGGTCAGTTGAAAAGTATTGACTGAAATTTAGTTCGTATGCAACTCGTTTAATATATTTTATAATATTTGTATGCTAAAAGTTTTCCTAAAGCTACATTTTCCAAAATTTACACTGACTGTTCATGACTGATTTTCTTAAAACTGGGTCGGTCAAATTTTTAAATGAAAGTGGTAGTAGAAACCTTGTTCTATACCCATCGAAATACGTTTGTGAAAGTTTGGTTGAAAAATTTAGAATATGCCCATAGTATGGTTTGTCGCTATTGTAAGTGTACTTGGAAATTAAGCATACATATGTGGAAAAATATAATGAGCAACATAGCAACAAAATAAGATCCATTCATTGCCTTTCAAATACTGCAAAGAGAACTTAAATTGGACAAAAAAAGGCAGAGATATATAGAAAACAACATTTCAGGATCTATTTTGAATGTGTCCCAAATTTTTACGATTACACCATCCTAAGGTTGACATTGATTGGTCGTTTTGTTCACATCTCTGCATTTTTTGTCCAATTTTTTTTTCTTTGCAGTATTTGAAAAGCTATGAATGTATTTTACCACGTTGGTATGTGGCTTATTTGTTCTAATTTTTGCATCCTAAAAATTCAATTAAACTTTCAATAGCGACAAACCACACTGTGGGAACCCAAACTTTTGAACAATGACTTTAATCACTATTGTATTGATTTAAAGCATATTCTAAAATTTTCAATCATACTTTCACAAACATATCTCGATGGGTATAGAACAAGGATTCTTTTAACACGTTCATTCCAAAATTCGACCGATTCAATTTTGAGAAAATCAGCGTAAATTTTGGAAAATTTTGTAACTTTAGGAGAATTTTTAGCATACAAATATAGAAAATATATATTGAAGCAGTTAAATACAAACTAAATTACATTCAATACCTTTCAAATGACCTTAAATGAACGAAATTGGTAGAGATATGAGCATTATACATTTGCATGTTTTTTCAAGGGTGACCCAAACTTATGATCGGGAGTGTATGTCCAAGCAAACGCCCCTTCCCTACAAAAACTACTCATGCTCCATATCCCCTACTGGCTCAGTCCTGATCCATTTCTTCTTTTCCACAACAAAGAACGAATGAGAACACCTACCTACAGAACTGCCGGTGGAAGCATAACTGTCCCATGTGACATTTCGACTTTTTTGGGATTATGATGCTTAACGGGACAAATCAATACAATGAAAATAATGTTATATTCCCCTCCCCTTGGCTAGTTTTTGCACCTTGCTGTTGGTGGGCGGGCTTAATTTCATGCTAGTGGAGTGTTGGAGACGGTGGGTTTGTGGCCGACGTTGCTGGCTCATGCCGCGATAGAATGGCGCCATGGGCGGGCAATGAGGATTACTGAGCTTCCCCTCTCTGATAAACCACTGCATGAGAGAACAAAAGATCTAGTCCAGCAGTGATAGTATCACACTTGTTACTCCTTTTATTGAGAGCCGCGTCGTGGTACGCTTACGTATAGGCACTGACGTTGGGTGTGATACTGGCGGGTTTTGCCGCAAATCACTCTTATTTTATTTATTTTTACGCAGATAGATTTATTTGGGTTTGCAAGGGAATTATACTATTGAAATATTTCAGAAAGTGCCCAACGGTACTCCTTCTACTTGCGTGACAAGCTTTCATTGTTGTTTTCATTGAAGTATTACTCAGGGAACAACTTTAAACATCATTTTTGTACATGGTATTGTAACTAATCTTATATGTGCTTCATTTTGATTTGGGATAAATGTTTGAACTATGGCTCGGGATTTCCACTGTTGCGTGCTTCTATTGTGATATATCCATACGTAATTTTGTGGGACGACATAGTGGAAACGTGTGAGCGTAGTTGGAGCATATACCCTATATAATTTAAAATCAGCTAGGAAACTAACTTCAAAATGAAGCATTTTAGTCACTTGAGGGTGTCACCTGGGTCGAACTAAGATATAATAAATAGGTATAGGTCAAAATCAAAAGTACTTGAAACACGTTTAATTTTAGATTACAAGCACAAGTGCAGGTACTTAATAAAGCATGGGTTATGATTGATTAGGTGACTTAGAGCTTTTAATAATTTATTAATTTAGACTAATGAGATATCATAACCATCAAATGAATTTAAATAATAAACTTCAGAAAGTTTAATGACATTAAGTAGATTAACAAAAGAATTAGGATGCGGGTGGTCCGCTTAGGGAGGCAACTAACCTTTATAGTTGTAGAATAAATCTTCTTATTTAGTATTGAATTTAAAAAAAAAGAAAACGCAGGCAGACCAATAGCATTTAGCAGATTAACAAGGAAAGGAATAGTTTAGGAAAAAAGTAAAAGTAGAGTTATGTGACAGTTATTAGCTTTTAAACTTTTGGAGGTATTGTATTCCCCTGAGTTTGTTGTACTCGATTACTATATAATTCTCTCAATACGCGAAATCTCTTATATATGCGATTAAAGCATTTGAGTTAACTTATTTCTTAGTGTTCAAGTACTTACATTTGTAAACAGCAATCAATGTTAATCTATGAACTAAACCATACGTAAAATCGATCTTTCCTTATGTGGTATTGATGCATGTTTAACTTTTCGCGGCTTTCGGAATCAACGCGCCTACGTCTACGGAGCTTACGCAGAAGTGATTTGCAATGCGGTAGAGCTCACCAAAAGTTTTTTTTTTTTTTTTTTTTTTTTTGAGCTTCTGTAGTATAGAATTTGTTCGGTACGGTCGCGAAATCTTGAAATGATTGATACGTGCGGTAAAATAACTAAATTGAAACAAAGCTCAACAGTAAAATAAGTAGAATATTTAGGGAGGAAACCAAAATTTATCAACTTGCCAACATAGGCTATCACATTTATTTTGGTGGCACTCTTTAAGTGATAATAAGTTGTTTTTTTTCTCTACGGTTGTTTCGCGTGGCGTTCACAATTTGCGCGATTTTCGTATCTTACGTAATTTAGATGTTTAACTATAAACGGTTTCACTGACTCGAGGTCGTTCCTTAAGCGGTGTTGGTACAGGTTAAACCTTTGCCGACTGTCGGATTCAACGCGCCTACGTCTACGGAGCTTACGCAGAAGTGATACGCAATTCGGTAGAGCTTGTCAAACGCTTTTGAGCTTATAGAATTTGTTCGGTGCGGTCGCGAAATCTTGAAATGATTGATACGTTCTTTAAATTAACTAATTTGATACAAAGCTCAGTAGTAAATAAGTAGAATATCTAAGGAGGAAACCAAAATTAATCAACTTGCCAACATAGGCTATCACATTTATTTTGGTGGCACTCTTTAAATGATAATAAGCCTTTTTTTTTTTCTCGCTTCGGTTGTCTCGCACGGCTTTCGGAATTCGCGCGGTTTTCGTAACTTACATAATTTAGATATTTCGTTCGAAACGGATTTACTTATTCAATCGGTTTACTACGCGGATGTATCTACGCGCACACGTCACAGCATTTTTTCTATAACTATCTTGAAACAATACATACGGAATCCAGTGTTCAAGCGGCCAACATAGGCTAGTCCTTCTGCTGTATTGTCAAAGATAGAAGCAAAATTTATTCAAATGGGTCAAGTCTTGAAAATTAAGCTGTCACGCAGCTCCAGCTTGATACCAATAAAAAAAAAAAAAAAAAAAAAAAAAAAAAAAAAAAAAAAAAATGAAAATAATGTTATATTCAAACATGCTGTTTATTCTAGAAATATTAAAAAAAAAAATGTGAGGTCGTTTTGTCCCATTGCAAAAATGGACGCATATCTGTCCCACTGCTCCAATTTTTAATACGTATAAGAAATTATTCAAAAATTATAGTCTGTTTTCCAAATAATACATCGTAAACATATTACAAGCTCCAAACTATTGCCCAAATGGTAAAATTAATCTTTTAATTAATTGGATGATACCTCGATAACGTCTTAAGCACATTAACACTTTTTTAAGAAAAATTTGAGCTATCATTCTCAGTTCTGTTACTATTTACAAACAAATAATTTAAAAAATGTACTAATCAACTTGCAACACCTTACCCTAATTGTACCTTTTCGTGACACATATGATTATTTGGTATTGAAAAACTATGGAGTAAAATGATGAGATTTATTTTAAAAATAAAGGAAATGCATACAACGGTCAACCTTAAATAACTATCATTCCGATGCATGTAAGCAACATGCATCGGAATGATAGTTATTTAAGGTTAACCGTTGTATGTATTTCTTTTATTTTCGTTGTTGGTCGGAAGACCAACTAAAAATGATGTTTTGTCTTCTCCAATAACAGGTACGACAACTGCCAACAGAGAGGCTTTCCTATCTACTTCAATTCCACAAGGAGACCTTTGCCAGAGTACGTTAGCTTTAGTAGAGAACGTATCCTTTTCGATCAGCTGGAGTTGTTTCTTGGAAAACAGTTTGTAGTATTTAAGGTCCTCACTGTTGATGTTGCTTGCGTATCCTAGCTCATAACTTCCTTTTTGAAAAACCAATTTTCTCATGATTCCCACGATGGCTTGAATAAGTTCAACGTGTACAACTGTGAGACATTAAACTTGGCTTGGAACGGCACGTTCGAGACGCATTTTTTTGCCCCTAAGAATGTCATTGGCAGTAAGACCACTGATCGACTCGGGCCTAATACATGCAGACACTGGAAATGATCGTGCGTATGCGCCAACAGGAGCAAATGTCTCGTCATCACTCTAATAGGCAGTCTTGCAATGAGCACTCATACGTCAAATTTTCACTGGAAATCATCTGAATGAATGTTGATACCAAGATATCCTATATTACATGATATCGTCTATAGTCTAAGCCGTTCGACACCCTATTTGCTTCTATTTCTGCTGGAAATTGTATTAAATTTTATACACGGTTACTTACCTTAAAGTTGTTGTTCACTTGTCATCTTTAAACCAGCATTGATAATTATGTGAGATGATGTTTATAATGTTCATAATTTTATTGTAAAAAAATCATTGTACGAAATGCAATAGGTATATAAAGTCATAAGAAGTAAACGTACCAATTTGACATAAAACGATGAAAAGGTTTTTTATGCTCATTTTACCAAACATGATTCAACTTACCATCTAAGGAACATAGGCAAACAAAAGGAATGGAATTAGCATAAATTTTAGGGGGAATGTAAAGGTTTGCTTAACAAATAGTTTCCTGTTTCGCATGGGAATTATTCAGGGCTTTAAGCTTAGGTACTTCAATAGAGATAAATATGATTGTACCACCACACACCGGATATGCAGAATAAATGATGCTTGTGAGCATCACCATTTACATTTTGAGAATATCATTGACGCCAGCGACGATACAGCGGGCTGAAATTCCAAACATATCGATGAGAACAGTCGGAGGTCCTGAGCGTGGCACTTTCTCGACGCCCAAATGTTTCACGACCACGTTGCGCTGGTCTGCGACGGCAGAAAGTACAGCTTCACCAATACCGCCTTGCCTGTAGGAAAAGTGAAAGAATTTGTTGATATTGTTTCATACAACTATAAGATGACTTAAATCGTACTTGTAGTGATCCTCGACGACAACGATGCGGCCACCACATTGAGTGGCATTCTGAACGATGGCTGCCTTGTCAATAGGCTTGACGGTGAACAGATCCAAAACTCTGGCATGTACGCCGGATTTCTCAAGCTCAGTCGCCGCATTCAGAGCTTCGTACAAGGTTATTCCAGCACCGATCAGTAAAACGGTATCATTAGCAGATTGCTTTACAACCTTAGCCTTGCCAACCTGTAACAATAGTTGTATTTTATTGACAGAGAACATCTCGAGTTATGTGAGTAGAAGCATGTACCTGGAATGGTTCGTTGTTATCGTAAATAACAGCGGTATTCGGTCTGGAGGTACGGATAAAGCAGACTCCCTTAGTATTGGCAGCTAGTTCAACGGCGCGTTCCGTACTGACGGCATCCGATGGGTAGAATACCGTACTACCGGGGATGGCTCTGAACATAGCAATATCCTCCAAACCCATCTGGCTAGGTCCGTCCTCACCGATGCTAACACCGCAGTGCGAGCCAACAAAATTGACATTCGTTTGAGAGATGGCTCCCATACGGATTTGATCGAAGGCACGAGAGAAGAAAGTTGCAAAAGTAGACACAAATGCAATTGTGCGGTCACGGCATGCGGCTCCAATGGCCACACCAACCAAGTTTTGTTCGGCAATGAAGCACTCGATGAATCTTTCGGGGAAAGCCTTGCGCAACTTGTCCGAATATGTTGAATTCTTGGTATCACCATCCAACGCAATGACACGATCGTTGTTCATAGCTATCTTCGCTAGGGCAGTACCATAAGCCAGACGAGTTGCCACAGATTCTCCGAGTTTATAAGCCGGAGGAGTAGCAAGCTGAACATTGCTAATATTCACCTTTTTGGCACTTTCTTTCTGTGGTGATGGAGGAGTGATTTGTAATGGTCCAGCATTGCGAATCATTGACTGCAAATGTTCAATCACACTGTTGGCATTTTCACCAAGAGGCTTTCCATGCCAATTGTCCAGATCTTCAATGTTGGGGAAGTGTTTTCCCTTGAACGTCTTGGCCACAATAGCCGTAGGGCGATCCTTGGTGACCGAAGCCTCAAATAGTGCCTTGCACAGTTCTTCGACATCGTGACCGTCAACGACGATCGCGTTGAAACCGAATGCATCCAAACGCTTGCGGTACACTTCCACCTGATGTTGAAGGGATGTCGGTTCCGACTGCCCAAGTCGGTTAACATCGAAAATCACACAAAGGTTGTCCAGCTTGTAATGACCTGCAAAGTGCAGCGATTCCCAAATTGAACCTTCGGCTGATTCACCATCTCCAACCAACACGTAGGTCCTGTAGTCGGCCTTATCGATGTTCTTGCCAATATAGGACATTCCACAAGCAACTGCCACACCTTGGCCGAGAGAACCGGTTCCAACATCAATGAAGTTCAATCTGGGTGTTGGGTGACCCTCAAGATCGGAGTCAATCTTTCGCAGGTTCATCAAGTCGCTGATTGGGAAAAGACCCGCCTCAGCCCATGCGGCATACAGAATCGGCGCGGCATGACCCTTGGACAGGATGAAACGATCCGACGAAGCGTCTCGCGGAGCGGAGATCTTGTAGCGCATCGTGTTGAAAAACAACACTGACATGATTTCGGCAATCGACGCACATGACGTAGGATGGCTGAAAAGAAAATTGGTAAAATATTTATAGACTGATAAGTTTTTTGACCATTAGCTGATGAATTGCGAGGATGTCTAGACCTATAAATAAATGATAAGCATTGATTGCGTATTGCAGACAAATTGATGAACGCTACGCTACGTGAGCAGATTTTTGGAGAAACCTGATAGCTGCCTAGTGTTTCTAAGTGAGTTTATAACATTGTATAATATCATTATATCTACAATACCGTACAAAAGTATTATAATAATATAACCTCGTATTTTTTTTTCTTCAAATAAATTCAATGAGCTTGAACTTTTCCGGGTGTTTATGAAATTTACTAAAATCTTGGCTGTTGGTTGGTCAAGCATTCACGACCAATCGGTATAATTTTATGGTTGATTGACAATTGAATGAATTTAGTTCAATTTTTGAACTGCAATTTGTTGAAGTTTAGTGAACCAACTGAGCTTGAATTATGCTCAATTGTAGTCAAAACATGGATCTTTTATGCGTTTGGTTTAATAAAGTTCACTAAAAAAGTTACATACGTTTTATGTTTTCGCCAACTGGAAGAAATGACAAGGGGATACACTTCTGGCAACATACAAAAGATTCCTATGTTGACTACAGTTGAGCAAAAATTTAGCTCATTTGTTTATTATGCTTCAAGAAATTGCAGTTTTGAAAAAGTTATACCAAAAAGTGGTGTTTTACACTCAACTCAACCGGCAGCAAGGATTTTAGGAAATTTCAAGTAAATCCGAAAAGTTACAGCTCTGAACTTTAATGGAGAAAAAAAAAATTGCGTTGTTATATACTTTTGTCCGGCACTGTATCATGGTTTTCCTTGGGATTGTGGCTACAAGCTACCTTTGCCGTTCACTGTATAGTTATTATCATTAGAATTTTGCCCGCTGTGTTATTTACTACACACTTTTGTCACTAATTTAGCAACAGTTGCACATTGAAGCAAATTTGAAAAATACATTTTTTTGTTTTGTTACATTGACATCGTAAAGCTAGCGGGGCAAAATCGACACCCTACGGGAAATTATGGAGACCTTCAGTCTACCCCAACGGGAGAAGATATTTTATCGTTAGTTTTTGATATGTGGGAACAACAAAAACAATTTAATATTCCATAACATAATTGTAACGGGTGTTCAATAAAAAATGAATTTTTTTTCAGTCATATAGCTAGTAAAAAAAATTTTTTTCAACGAATTCAGTATTTTTTATTAAAAACATAATGTTTATTCTTCAAAAAAAACGTCCATGAATATTGGAGAAGGGGCCCTGGTCAGCCGTACGACGCAATTAAGTCGCGATGCTCTCACAAGAGCGCTGGACGGCACTGAAATCATTCTCATTTTTTATTGAACACCCGTTAGTCTAATTACCGTCATCTGCTCGCTACACCTTATTTGATGATACGTGAGATTTATAATTTTTCAGCACACAACAAGCCTGTGCGTTTTTTCGAGAATTTACGGTGATTAGGAGCATATTGAAATTAGTTTACTCGTTAAATTACTTATTCAGAAGAGGAATGAAATATCAGTTGCATCTAAATTGAAAAAAATGTTGATATTTTGAAAAATATATATTGTGATATTCTATCTCCACTGAAACAATATTGTTGTAGTAATAATTTGTGTGTTTTTCCTCCCCTTGGCTAGTTTTTTCACCTTGACGTTGGTGGAAGGGCTTAATCTCATGTCATAATGGAGCGTTGGAGACGGTGGGTTTATACAGAGACGTTAAGTAGAGACACGCATAGACTGAAGCAAGAAGAACCAAACGAACCGTCAAACGCTGAACCAAACGAGCAAAGTAAATAAACATTACTGTTCGCTCAATTCACCAGAAAGGAGTATTGTTCTCAATGATGATAAAGATGTTCAATAATTTTCACGAAATATTTGATATCTGTTATTTCAAGCGTAACTATTCAAAGACGTGTCTGCTTTTGTAAATAATCACTTCAATAAACGATGTGTCTTAACTGCTAACTCACCCACGCAAACAAACACCATCTTTTCCCTACTAGCTGATGTTGTTAGTTTCTGTGAGTGAGCTAGCAGTTGCCTCAAATCGTCGATTGAAGTGATTGTTTACAAAATCAGATACGACGATTTGAATAGTTACGCTTGATTTATTTATTTATTGTTAGTTCAATCAAATACAACATTAAATAGTGATAAAAAAAATCGAATCGGAACGTTTTATTTAGTTTTGTGGTAATAAAAATGATTGCGCTGCAAGCAAAACAGATATGACAACAATTATACTGTCAATGAGCGACTGTCATCTCTCGCCTTCGCTTTATTTGTGCAAAATGTTGCCGCGCACTTCATTTTTATTCAGTTCCGGTCGAACGTTGAAATTTTCTCAACAGCATTGCGGCACTGTATGAAAGTCATTTGAAGCCACTCGAAGAAACATGGTTGCCAGTGACATTGTCAAAAGATCCCTCAAAAATCGTGCTGCGGTTTCGACAGAAATTTTCATTGCGCGTCTCTATCAACGTCTCTGGGTTTATAGCCAGCATGTCTAGCTCATGTTGTGGCAGTGTGCCGACATCAGCGGGCGTTGTGGATTAGTGAGCCTTCCGTCTCTGATGAATCATGGCTTGAGAGAACCATAGTTCTAGCCGCTAGTGACAGTATATATTTTATTCGATAGCCGTGTATATATAGCCGCTGTATATATTTTATTCGATAGCCATTCGATGTCGAAGCACGTTTATTTAAAGGCACTGACTTTGGGTTTGGGTGTGGGATTGGCCGCAAGTCACTCTTATTTTATTTTGACACATTTAGTTTTGAAAGGGAAATATACTCTTCGAAACTAATCAAGAGAAGGCTTTTTTATCTTAAATGAATAATTTGGAGAGGAAAGTTAATCTTGCTGAAATTCTATATTAACATATCGGTTCAATTTAAATTTTTATGTGGCTCCTTTAGTAGGTTTGAGTTTTTTTTTATTCTATTTTTTCAAGTACATTTTGAACTTTTCGCGGATGTCGGGACTCAACGTGACCTACGGTCCTTTAGTAATGTGTAATTCGATAGAGCTTACCGAACGCATTCTGGACTTAAAGGGTGATACGATCAAAATTTGGTCAAGGGAAAACGCGTGTAAATCGGTGAAATCGTTTATTTAAAAAATCAAATTAAATTTCTTTTTCAAGTTCAATTAGTATAAAATTCAGGAAAAATATTCAGTTAGGCTTCCGCTTTTCCAAATCCGAATTGCCGGGCCTTACGCTTGACCCCTGCCATCAGATTTTGTACAGCCACCTTGTCCACCTTCTTCGCCGCAGAAAGCCAGTTTGCCTTGAACTGCTGCTCGCCCTTAGCAGTTTTTTTGGTCTTCTTTAGGTTCCGCTTGACAATAGCCCAGTATTTCTCAATTGGGCGGAGCTCTGGCGTGTTGGGAGGGTTCTTGTCCTTGGGAACCACCTGCACGTTGTTGGCGGCGTACCACTCCATGGCCTTTTTACCGTAATGGCAAGATGCCAAATCCGGCCAAAACAGTACGGAACAACCGTGTTTCTTCAGGAAAGGCAGCAGACGTTTATTCAAACACTCTTTCACGTAAATTTCTTGGTTGACAGTCCCGGAAGCTATGAAAATGCTGCTTTTCAAGCCACAGGTACAGATGGCTTGCCAAACCAGATATTTCTTTGCGAACTTTGACAGTTTCATGTGCTTGAAAACATCTGCTACCTTTCCCCTTCCTTTTGCCGTATAAAACTCCTGTCCCGGAAGCTGCTTGTAGTCGGCTTTGACGTAGGTTTCGTCGTCCATTACCACGCAGTCAAACTTCGTCAGCATCGTCGTGTACAGCCTCCGGGATCGCGCTTTGGCCGTCGTATTTTGTTTATCATCGCGATTTGGAGTCACTACCTTCTTGTAAGTCGATAGTCCGGCTCGTTTTTTGGCTCGATGCACGGTTGTAGACGATACACCCAGCTTATTTGCGGCATCTCGGAGAGAGAGGTTAGGGTTTCGCTTGAAACTACCGGCAACTCTCTTTGTCGTCTCAGCGGCTTCCGGTTTTCGATTTCCCCCCGATCCAGACTTCCTGGCTGTCGACAAACGTTCCCCAAACACTTTAATTACATTTGTAACGGTTGATTTGGCAACTTTTAGCGATTTTGCCAACTTTGCGTGCGAGTAGCTCGGATTTTCGCGATGCGCGAGCAAAATTTTGATACGCTGCTCTTCTTGCTTGGACGGCATTTTGACAACTGAAGAGTGAATTCCAAAATCAAAATAGGAGCAACATTCTACACACACACACCTTCAAAATGAGGGGTGTTCAGGTTTTTTAAATGCAAAATTGAAAGAAATACGTCAAGTTGATATTGACCAAATTTTGACCGTATCACCCTTTATGTAGTTTTTGGAATTTAGTCGGTACGGACGCGAAATCTTAGAATCTCTATAGTAGTCAACTTGCCCACATTAATCAACTTGCCCACATAAGCTATCACTTTTGTTTTGGTGGCACTCTGCTAGTAAGCTGTTTCTCGTGGCGTTCGAAACTCGCTCGGTTTACGGAACTCACTTAGTTTTGATATTTTATACTTAGACAGATTTACTGATTCAATTGGAGTATTCTTTGACTCGTTAATACGTTTATTCTATTTTGTCAAGTATATTTTCAACTCTTCGCGGTTGTCGGATTTAATGTGGTCTACGGAGCTAACGGAATTCACAATTCAATACTGATTCAATCGGATCACTACGCAGATGTATTTTTTGCCTCGTTAATACGCACTCACGTCACAGCATTTTTTTCAAAAAACTATCTTGAAACATTATACAAGAAGCAGTGTTCAAACTGCCAACATAGGCTAGTCTTTCTGTAGTATTGTCGAAAGATAGAAGCAAAATTTACTCACATGGTCAAGTTTTGCTAAGCTGTAACGCAGCTCCAGCTTGATATCATAAACAATAATAATAATAATAATTTGTGTGTTTTGATCAGTGTTGGAAAAGTTCGCA